GTTCCCGCAGAGAGAACATGAGTCATCCACAAACGCTGCTCTAGCATGATCAATGCCCAAACACGCAGAGCAGAGAATGTGCCCATCAGAGTCAGAAATGAATCGACCGCAACCAGAAATGCACGGGCATATAATCTTTAAAAAGACGTGCCGCGTGCGAGCTCTTTTGTGAGAGGAAAAAACTCAGCGGATGCTGAAGCGAGCAGGGAGAAACACACTCAGGCAGATCACTGCACAGATCAGCAGGCAGTGTGAACTCGCTGGAGATTGCCATCACACCAACACCGGAGAGTCGCTCGTCTCGTAGAGTGAAGTCAGAAATGGCTGTGGAGTGAAGAGAAACTCTTGGCTCCGAAGCGAAAAACATATCTGCATATTGCCGGCGTCCTCCTTTTATACCCACAAGGTGGGGCGGAGTTGCGCCATGCAAATTCCGCAGACCCATGGCATTTCTTTGCCATTGGCTCGTTTTGTAATACTCGAAGTCGATAGGCTTTCTAAGGGAAACCCCATTCGTCGTCATCCGACGTAACTCGGAGTGACAACGAAAGTGAACTTTCCTTAGCAAGAGTTCCTTTGTCAACCAATTTGGTCTTTCCTTTAAAATTGGTTGACCAAAGCACTCTTGCTGGTTAAGCTTTAAGAAGCCTGGTAAGGACATAAAGACACTAGCATCCAAAACACAACATACACTGATCTTTTTAATAGGGCAAAACCTCTCATTTCCTTTCCACTCTGTCTTTAAAGTCCCTGTAAAGTCAAAATTAAGTATGTGTTTTGAGTTTGTCACACCACAGAAAAATGTGTTATTAGTCACCCAGCCAAATTTGAATGATAAAAAAAGCCAGCAAGTACATAAAATAAGCTATCAAAATCTTGAAAAAATGAGCAGTAATCTCTGCTCTCAAACGCTGGGGGCGTGTCCACTGGCTGCGCTGAAACCACGCCCACTCGCGGGAAAGCTGCCGTCGTCGACTCGCCTCACTCAACTCTACAGCCGGAATGGATGCTCGCACGGTGGGCACGCACTGCCGAATGGCACCAGTTGTCGGCGCGACGGGAGGATGAAGGCTGAGGCGGGAGTCGGTTCGGCCCCATTAACCAGTAACAGCGGATTATCAGTGAATCCCAGACAGTTATCTCCGACGAAAGTTTATAAAACTATCCAGTGTAAAATGATCACTTACAGAGGCGGGTTTTGGCGGTGATCCTCAGCTCTCCATCAAGGTGGCTCTTCACAAAATGAATCCACTTCTTCTTGATGTAATCGTTTTTCGGAAATTTAAACAAGGACACGATCTGTTTTGTACGTGATCCGGTGATCGCATCCAGGTAGTACGCATTTCCGTGACGAAGGCATAGCTAGTAGCTAGCAATCTGTAGGCTGTGTTACTAATAATAGTACTGACAGTAACTCGCGATTGAGCGGCAAACTGATGTGAATGTGCTCTATAATATTGTTAGGAGCGGCCAGCCTCAGTGGCCTCAGAGCGTCATCAAGTAGGGGCGTGTCCAGGAGCTCAAGGGCTCCAGTGCGTCATCGAGCCCTGTTTTAGCCCCGCCCAGAAAATCCGTAAAATATCAATGGTGAAAAACTGTTTAACGGTCTAACTCCACAATTCAGTACTTCACAGTTCACAGTCTTTGTAATATGTTTTAGCAATACATTTCTAACATTTATAATGTGTTTAGAATTTTTTTTTGAAATTGCCTTTACAGGGACTTTAAATGACAGCTAAGGTATAGGGTCTCTTTATATCCTCCCACTCCAGCGGAGGCTAAAAGCTTCCTCTCTTTCTAGTGATGGTAAGAGCCTTGCAAAATTAATAGAAGTAATGAGGTTCCCTGTGGAGGCAGCCAAGTTGATCTTGAGAGTCAGGCCTCTTTTTAGATCTCTCAAGTCCTGCTTTCTCTTGGACAGATCTCGACTCTTTCTTCCTCCACCTATCCACTCAGCCAAATCCTGAGCGACTATCTCTATCTTGAGCAAGGGCATTAAAGCATACCGCATCTCCCAACACCAATGTTGAGAACTACACAGAAATGCCTCTTGAAATCCCTCTGCAAGACTCTCTGGAGATCGGCTCCTCTCGCTGTCATTTTTTTCACTCAAAAGCCATCTTGATAAGCTATTCACCTTCACAAAAAGTGGAGGTCTGGTGTGCCATGTTAACCAGTCATTAAGACTCCAACACTGACTCTGATTGTAAAGCCACCTCACTCATCTAAACGTACTTCATTGCCTTGACTTCTCCAACCTTCACCCATTAAATGGTGACTAAAAGCAGTTATCTATAGAGAACAAAACAGGTCTTTCTATATATTTATTTTATATATATACAGGGGTGTGGGTATCACGTACTGTTATCTGAGAGCACAGCCGAACACACTCAAAGATCACATGCAGAGAGAGAGACAGAGAGAAAGAGAGAGAGGAGAGAGAGAGAGAGAGAGAGAGAGAGAGAGAGAGAGAGAGAGAGAGAGAGAGAGAGAGAGAGAGAGAGAGAGAGAGAGAGAGAGAGAGAGAGGCGTGTTTCAGACAGAGCTCAAACACAAAATTGATTCCTCTTTCGCGTTTACTTAAGCTTGAACGCACACATACAGAGAAAATTATGTCAAAATACCCATCCCGGAACGTATTCTCTTGGTTATGTCATAAGTGAACCGTTGAGAAAGAAACCGGATGTGTGTCAGTAGTATATTTGGTCCGTGCATTCGGTCTTAAAGTGACAGCAACCTAATATTCCTGTCATTAATGTTAATAAAATAAAAACCATGTTCTAGAGAAAAGAAGATAGTGAGGAGAGCAGTCAGGAGGAAAGTGATTATATCAGCTTGTAGGATAAGTGTGCCATCTCCAGGTGCTTCCCTTGAGAACAAATAAATAATATGACCAGAGTCCAGTTTACAAACAAATGACTCTTACAAGCAGTTTCTTTGAATAAGCAAAAAAGATTCACACGTCACCAGTTTCAATCAGTCTAACAATTAGTCGCTGAAACTGTCATAGCAGTTAACATACTGACAGGTTTACTTGACATTGAGTTGTTTAAGATAGATATTAAAATAAAAAATAAAAGTAATATAATAAAAAAGTATGTTACATAGCATGAAATATTTATATATTTTAAATAGTAAAAAAATCTTTGTCTTTCTTTCTTTCTTTTAATAATAATATTTGTAATAATAATAATAATAATAATAAAGTAGTACACTTCATTGATATAATTATTGATTTAATATTTTACTATAACATAATAACAAAAATAATAATAATTATTATTATTATTATTATCAATGTTATGTGCCAACTACCTAAAAACGGAATGTTTTGGAAAACACTGACCCAGACACATGATCAGACACATAGAGGAGTTTCATCACAATACCCCACAGACCCATCAGAGACCCCTGTTCTTTCAGTCTCCAAAGCCTGTTACATGTAACAGGAAGCTCAGCTGATTAACATGATTAAAACATCCTGCTCTAGGGCCTGTCGACCACACACAGGAGGCAGCGTCGAGTGACAAGGTCAGCCAAATGTCAGTATGAGTGTGTGTGGGTAACTGGCTGGGATTAAGACTGGTGAATGTTGACCAGAGAAACAAGTGCCTCTTTACATAGAGAGCTAAATGGTAAAGACTTTCTCTAGTCTAGCAGGTGCGAGTCTGTATGTGTGTGTGCAAAGAAGGCGGGCTTCTTGGTGAGCAGCCAGGCATCAGGTCGATGCAAAGCAGGAAGCAGAGGTCCACAGCCCTTGCGCTGCAGTTCCTGTTCTCTGCAGGGTATCGCCTTCTCAGCGTAGCTGTCTAGAGCCACAGAGCCAACACCCAGCGCCAAATCACTCATACACCCTCACAAACACACACATATTCACACTCACACGCCGAGAACAGCTCTCTATGTACTCAAAACCATCAGCCTTTCAGTTTTTCAAATTAACAAAAGGCACTATTTCTAACCTTTTATAAATTCATAAAGACATGTTGAAGGAATCCAGCAGAAGATAAAATCTGAAGTGTGTGACTTCTGAGCCACAATTGCACAAATATTGACTTTTTTTTAAACAGGTTTCCAGGACACGCCCCTTGTCCGTCATTGGTTAGACAAACTGATAGTCCCGCCCTAGTGTCTCTGGGATAGGAGAACGTGTTTTAAAACTTAAAAAGCCACAGACTTGACAATAATTATGTTATGGCCAATAACCAACAAATGGCTGATATTAAAATTATATACCATTTAAAAATAATGAGAAATTATTAGAAATACAACACTAAAATTAATTGTTGTAAACGCTACATGCGTATGTACATTATATTATATAACATTATAATGTACATTTAACAGTGTTACATTATTTGTGTTTTTACAGATCAATGGCAAATGTAAAATAAATAAATAAGTAGTGGTAATAAGCACGTACAATGAAATGTGCAATCCTGATCAATAAAAAATTCAATCTAATGTCAGCTGATAACCAATATGGAATTTATATCATTCATCAGTATTTCTGTTTTAATATTTAGTCTAACCACTAAATTGCTGTGCACAAATATGTCAATGATAGCTGTCATGGCTCTCTCTCCCTCCCTCCTTTCCTCTCTCTCCTCGCTCTCATCAACTGATCAATCAGTCTGTCAGTGGATATGATGCATGGCAGGAAATGGAGAGGCTGCGGGAGGGAGCCGGAGCGAGTGGAGTGCCGGGAATCCTGGAGCAAAGGCTGACGGGAAATTTCTGCGCTCCGGGGGGCAGCAAGAGCGACTCGGTTCCATAAACAAGGTGCAGGATCGGTCAATAGGTTCCGTCACTCAGCGGGAACAGCGAGTCACCATGGCAGCGCCACAGGGCCTGTTTATAATCAGGCTTCCTGGGACCAAAAATATCAGTGCAAGGGAGCATTGCACAGCATATAATCCACTAACGAGTCATTGTCTTTCATGATGCTGCTTCGAACACCTGTGCCTGGTTTTTGGAACATTGTTCGATGTCAGACTCACCTGTTTATGTGGTCCTCTCAGGATGTGAGCTCTGGCCCCCTCACACGCCGTCCTCATGGCCTCCAGAGACGGAGTCCCCAGCAGATCTGTGATCAAGTCCAGCTAGAATATAACAAGAAAAAGAAGAGTAGATAAGTGTTGTATACACAATTAATATAGAACAGCATCTGTAAAAGTTGCAAACATAATACAAGCTCTTTGTACGCAAATACACACCTGAGATCCAGGAATTCGTTTTTAGCTAGTGTAGTATTTTTGCTATGTTTTAAGTACTAATTTATCTAGAAGTATACGATTTACTAAAAGATTGCAGGAGCACAAAGACTCATTTAGGAAAGACAAAATTCTAATTTTTAAATAACCAATAAGAAAGTCAAATCATGGTATGGCATCCACCAATCACATAACATGTCGGGTAAGTGATCACTCATCAGGCCAATGGCCTCTGTTCTTATTTGTAAACTTCTAATCAACATCGTATTTAAAGCAAAATAAAAGACATCGAGAGAGAGAGAGAGAGAGAGAGAGAGAGAGAGAGAGAGAGAGAGAGAGAGAGAGAGAGAGAGAGAAACACAACTATGTTTTATTATGTATCAGAAAGGATAAAGCATACACATATATGTAAATAAATAAAAAATAGAAAGTCCTGATTTAAAACAGAAAATAACTGAATTTAATAAAAGAGGAGTAGAAGGACAAAGGGACAAATATGAGAACATTGATCCATGTCCAAAAATGAGAACACTAGATCCATGTTCAAGATCTGTACACAAACAAACTAGAGCAGAACCATGTTCAAGTAAATCAAATTCTTTACTGGAGAGAATTTAATGAGCCTTAAAAGGAATGTCGATGTGCTGTCGGTGCACATTCAGGGCTGTGGGGACGGGAGCTGCGCACACACGCACACACACACACTCACACACACACACACACAGCCAGAGGAACAGCCAGTCCCAGAGCCTCTGACACACTGCAGGGCCAGTATTATTAGAACGCATGGCTTATAATTTTCTGTGTGAAATTTTTTAAACTAAAAAGTGTATCTATAGTCATACTTCTCAAGACATTGTTTCATGTTACTCCATCATATGTCATGAGATTAATGAGATTCTACACAAAATAGAGGCCTCCGTGTACATGCTAGAGACATGCTGTCTAAGCCGTGATGGTGTTGCTTCTGCCTGCACACAGCCTTCAAGGACAGAGGGCTTCTGGGTCGTGGCCACACTGGGGCTTCAGGACAACAGAGCCTTGAGCTGCCTCCACTCTCTCATTAGCATGGCTGTACTACATTTGCCAAAAAACTGTACGTTAAGGTCACACGCTTAACATCAGTGTCCAGGATTTTCTGTTTTCACTAATAATGTCACAAAGCTAGGAATATATTTTCCATTCAAAAACAGTACCGGATATAGCAAAGGTTAATGGCAAAATGAATGGTAAGTGAATTGAGAATTAAACATATATATTTAATACCATAAATATTTAATACCATAATACCATTTGATCTCTGATAACAAATTACTTTACTTTTAAAAATTGTAATGTAGACACATGCATTTTCTGTAAAGCTGCTTTGAAAAGATATGTATTGTGAAAAGCGCTATACAAATAAAAGTGAATTGAAATTGTATTGAATAAATGTATAGGCAAAAATCTTTATTACAGGTCATTAAAACTGTATTCTGCAGTTTATCTTAAGTATATTTGAAATAGTAACTTTTCCATTGAGGTAAAAGCTGTCAGAAGTTGTTAAAAATCACAGATTTTTTCGTAGAGAATTCCTTAAGTATTTGTTTCGAAGGTTCTTGCAATTTAATCCATACAATACATTGCGGTTCCTAGCCAAACCTGTTGGAAACCTGTTGCCCAATGTTTTGTTTACTCGCCATACTAAATTTTGGCAAGTGCAGCTGAACTCGTCTCTATTTCACATATCTGAGAGGCCAAATTATCCACAATCATACTGCAATGAGAGCAGTTAGAAGTTTCCTTTTACAACATGTAATACTGCAGACTGTAAGTTGAGGACACAATGTGAGTAGAATATGTTCCTAGATTAACGTCCTTAGCTGTTCTGAAATCAGAGGGGTCTATTTGGCTGATAAGAATGTTATTCCAAGAACAATAAATAATGTTGACAGGAACGTGTTCTACTTGTATAAATCACATCGAGCTGTGTGAAAGGGCCAGTTCTTGCCCACAGATCGTGTGCTGAGCATGAGCGTAGGTGAATACCTGTTGGATGGGACTCTGGGCCTGGAAGAGGATGCGTCGGCCAAGCAGCTCGGCAAAGATGCAGCCCACAGACCAGATGTCGATGGCGTTGGAATAGTGCCTGCTCCCCATCAGGATCTCTGGCGCTCTGTAGTACTGCGTCACCACCTCCTGGGTCATGTGACGCGACTCATCCAGCTCCTCCACTCTCGCCAGGCCAAAGTCACAAATCTGTGAGCATATTACCATGATTTGCACGCTTATTAGGTTGGCGTGGAGTCTGCAGTGTGCATGTATTGACAGGGATGGAGACGATGTTGAAAAATGCGATTTTTTTCAATAAATCAAGCAATAAAAACAAAACCTCTTACTCTAGTACCTCTTCACGCTAGCCTATAACACGGTGTCCTTTGCTGTCTGTTGTTGTTTTGTTTTTATTCATTGGTTTAGGTGTATTTATAATTCTTTTTAGAACATTGTACAGCACATTGGTCAACTGTGGTTGTTTTAAATTGAGCTTTATAAATAAATTGAGATTGAGAAAATTAGGTGGAGAGGCTCAATCACGTTTTAACCAAAAAGATAAACACTAAAAAGCGCTATAAACACAAGACCCAATTTTCCATCATCTTGAGCTGCTTGAGTGCTCATGGGGAATAAATAAATGAGAAAAATATCTCTGCCTTTTCTCTCCACCCTCTCTCAGAAAGAAGGCACATAAGAGCCTAACATGCATTACTAACAATTTACCCAAGCAGCTCCACCCAGTATATCCCAGCGGCCTCATTTTAGGCCTTCCCATAAGACAAATTCAAATGCTGCAAGTAACACTAAAACATGCACTTTATTGAAATGATTTCTTGTTTTTTCTTGTTCCATCCATGGAATGAGTGACAAGCTGCCATGGCGGTGCTATGTGGTTGCTAGGTGGTTAAGTCAAAAGAGCCTGTGTTTTCCATTTTTATAGTCAGGTCTCCATCCACATATTTTGAGTGAAATCGCATAAAGAATGCTAGATGGAAATGTCAAAAGACATAAATTATGATGGAAACACATTTATAAAATAAATTCTTAGATGGGCACTCAAAAGTTCATTATTTATAACCATTGTAGAATTTATTCATATTTTGAATTATATTTTCAGTTTTCATTTTACTTTTGATAAGTAATTTTAGTAAATTTTTTTGTGATTTTTTAAATATCCATTTAGCTTTCATTTAGATTTATAGCGGTTTTAGCTTTAGTAATTTTGGTACTTCAGCTTATTTTATTTCAGTTCGTTGCCAAGTTTTTCATCCAATATTGATACTGTATGTATTATTTTCAGCTTCGATTTTCCAAAAGAAAAGGCTTGGCATGTCAGAGCTAAATGAGAGAAACATTCTTTCTTTTCGGAAATGGGGATTAAGGACTAAATAAAGCAGCACATGCTAAATGATTCCCTTTCTGTGGTCCAATAGCATAATCTATTCCCGCTCTCCCCTCAAGCGCACTTCTCATGCTGTTGGGTGAAGTCAACACGCACATACATTGAGAATTTATCTCTTTCTTTATCTCTCTCTCTCTCTCTTCCTATATCTCCCATATCACCCTTGCTTTCTCCTTTGCAGCTGAGCTCTTGCTATGGGATCCAAAATGAAGATTTATGTCAGGAACTGAGCAGATGAATCAATCCCAAGGGGACCCTGACCCCCTGGAGCCAGAGATTGCGTGTTAGTGTGTGTGTGTATATGCTGTAGACCTGGCCTGGCCTGGATAGATATGAAGCGTCCTCGGAAGAAAGGAATTATAAAGACAGAATTCAAGGCCCATAGGCTAGAGTGTATAATGCTAAAATAGCAGGAGAGCACAGAGACAAGAAAAGAAGCCAGTGCAATAGAGCTTAAACAGTCAAAATCTCATATTTATCCAACAAAAAGTATATTAAAAGCACAGCTAAATGTGACGTTTATTATAGTGCTTTATGTAAAGATTGTTTTAAGTTAATGATGGCTTTTTATGTTGAAAGGCTATAATTACTCATTTCATCCTCAGGAATTGAGAAAATAATCCATTTAATAGAGACATTAGTTGCAGAATTGGTAGATACTGGTTTTCATTTATAATATCTTGATGTTGTTTCTAAATTAATTTGGAGATTCAGTGTGAAAATAATTAATATTAATTAATATTAGGTGTGATTAATCGTAATTAATTACAGAACAATTAATTACTTAATTTTTTTAATCAAATTACATCACTGATATAAACATCTTAAGAGTCCGACTACTTTTCAGGGTCAATTTCAGAAATAATAAATTAATTTGAACATCCAAGCTGAACTATCAGAAAAGACAACATTTACATTTTGACTAGTCACTAACCTTAAGCACACAATTGCTGTTGACCAGTAGGTTACCAGGTTTAATGTCTCTATGCAAAATGCCAGCTGAGTGTAGATACTTCAATCCTGTGGAGACAACATATACATCAGTCATCAAAGACATTTTGTGGACACAAACTGTATTCATATGAAGCATATGCTGTGCAGGTTTCTTGTTTGGTTTGAAATCTAATCCAGTTTACATATAAACAAGACTTGTGCCCTATGGTGGTATCATCACTCTAGGATGCAATAGAGCTTTGTGTCACTTCAAAACACTGTTATACACGTTTCATGTGATTCATTAGGAATAAGGTGAACTGGTCCCTTTAAAACCCGTCAGTTGTCCGACAGTAAACAAAATATCAGAAAGGAGATTGATTGGTTCTCCCATTCCAATTCTTACACTCTTCCTCCTCACTGGTGAGAATATGATAGTAAGGAACATGAAGTAGAGAAATGTGTGTGTTTGTCTGCACGTTTCTCTACCCATGAGATCTTGGTGAAAAAAAACTCGGGTGAAGAATGTGCGTGTCTGACCTCTGAAGGTGAAGTTTGAAGATTTGAAATAAAGGGCATAGTGTGTGTGTGTGTGTGTGTGTGTGTGTGTGTATCTCACCTCTGAGGATCTGATAGAGAAAGACTTTGACGTGGTCAGAGCTCAGGGGCTGTGGAGACACGATGATCTTATGGAGGTCACTCTGCATCAATTCCGTCACCACATAACTGTGGTTATGTCAAGGGAAACAACCATGCCAAAAATAACAGCAGGAAGTTCACACATACAGTACAGCAGCGCTACGAATGATAGGCAGTTTTAACACTCATCTAAAAACAGAGCCAATGGATAGGGAGTTCATGGGGAAGTGGAGAGGGTGAATGTGAAGAGGACTAGCATTTGTCTAAAGCGCCTCTCCTAAACTGGAGCACAAAGTCAAGAGTATTAGTCACACATTGCTACTTCTTTTAATCACAGATTTTACACATGCAAAATATGATGATGAGGCATACATTATATTCCAACACCATTTTTTAGAGCTGTTTAGTAGACTTTAGTTACAGCTTTGTGGAGTAACCAGCAATAAAAAAATAGCTGTTTTTAAAACTGTTTTCTTTGTTAAACTTGTTAGTTTACAGTTTAATATGGCCAAATTCCAGACCCCTGTTCTAGAATGACCTTTTCCGTCATTCATTTCATTGTCTTCATTTTAGTGAATATTTTTTTGGATGGTTTGTGAGCCATCAATTCATTTTCTTTCAAGTAATCATTACATAAATCTACAATATATATGAAAATTACTTTTAATATTTAGAAAACTTTTCAGCAAAGTTTTTAATATATACACAGAGACTAGGGGTGTAACGGTACATGTATTCATTCCGAACGGTCATGGTACGGACGTCCCGGTTCGGTGCATACGGTCAGAAGACAAATACAGTCACAGGCGATCCACACTCCAATCCAGAAGGGGACGCGCATGATAATGCAAAGCTGTTTGCTAACCACCGCAACAGGAAATAAAGCAGAAGAAGAGACTTGAGAGTTCAGATGCAAGAGCTTGCTAGTAGCCTATACGCTGAGTTTCTATTCATTTTTGTGACGCCCTCCAAAACTTCACGGAAAGGAAACTGGGACGGCTGAAAGCTGAATCCTGTTTGTTTTCTTTATTTTACAAAAGCACGATGTTTTGTTTTTATTGTGAGTGTACACAAATATAAATATGCCCTTTACAGTTTCTAATGATGTCATATCTGTATGACCATAAATTAGAGAGTATTTTAAATTGTTTCCGCAGGTATAATGAGACAAAATCACTTGGCATTGTGCCGATTTGTGTCGTATAAAGGTGAAGTAGGCTCAGATGTAGATGGCACTTTCTCTAGCTCATCTTTCTGTAATTTCTTGAATAAGCGTAATATTGAACTTTGTGCATCCGCCATTGCATGTTACTAATCTAGTAAAAATAAGTTTTGTTTTTCATTATTCTATTTATTTTGTACCAAATACCTTTTGTTTTTTTCAGCCCTACAAGAGTGTATTCTGTTTACTGCTTAGTGCTTAATACACTATATGAGGCTATACTGTACCAACTACCTAAGGGGGACTAAATGCTGCTAGGTGGAACAAATTGTTCAAAATGTATAACCTGTCAAAATAAATGAAAAGAAGCCTAGCATTGGGAATTTGTTGCTTTTTCCTGTTGTGCCAAACTTCTATCGAACCGTGACCCCAAAACATATATTTAAATATAAATAATTATATTTGAAGTATTTTTATTTTTTATTTAATTTACATTTTTGAATTATTTTTAGAATCATCTTATTATAGTAATAGAAGTGAAAATGAAATAAACAGTTATGTATTCTTGAGAACAACATCTCCAACACTGTTTAGTTACTTTGAATTTACAACAAGCAATGCAAGTGTCATTATTGCTATTGCACACCTGCAGAAAAAAGAAAGTGGCATTACATTCTTCTTAAGACAGACAGCAGGTCCTAACACCTGTTCTGCCAAACACATGGCACTAGGAGGTTTCGCAGGAACATCAGGGTGTGATAATGTGGCAATTACACAGTGATGAATGTAGATGTTGAAAACACACATGGAAAGTGTTACAACAGTCAATGAGTGAGCTGAATCCAAGAGGCAACGTAATCCAATCAACACAACTATTTACTATAATACACTTCATTACATCAAAAGCTCAAAAAACGTGGCATATTAGGCCTCTATTACAAATCCCAGAATATAAAGCAGACAAAGATGAGCTGCTCTTTGATATATGGTCCAGCTGAAAAACACAAACTGGAGAATTGACACTTGCGAGTATTTAGGTCTGACCTTTATGTGGAGAAGAATATTATGTTGAATAATCTTCACCTGGAGACACACATGATGACTCATTCATGTGCTAAAGAAAGAACAAGGAGCAATGATCTGCTTCAGCGCTACAAGTCTCTCAAAACAAACACCAACTTCAGCAATCAACACATATTAGCGCAGACTCAACACGTCTGTTGTCAGTAAATACGAGTGATGGAGAAAGCGTAGGAGGACTTCCAGCAAAGACAAACAGCCTGTGATCTTCCTTTTATAAACACAAAGATGAGCCGCTCTCTGCTACTAGGTCCAGTCGAGCGTTCACACTCGCTTGACAGATGCAGGTTTGACAGATGCAGATCTGTGGTTCAAAAAAAGCCCATCCAGTCATCTACGCTGTGGCCGAGTCAGCAGAGGCAACCCTCCAGTGCATGTGTGTGTGTGTGTGTGTGATAACTATAGCTGAGCATGCAGGACTGCTTGATTGACTGTCTGCTGGGACAAGCTCATCTTCTACCCACCCCTCGGTTTTCCCTTAAGTTTCTCAGCTACAAGAGTGTCACAAGTATTTTCATGCCATCTTTCACAGTGTCACTGCAAATTGACACGGCTTCTTTTCGCAGCCTTGGATGCATCTCTCTTCCTCTTTTTGTGTCTATTAGGCAGTTTTTTTTAAGTGCTCTCTACATATTTATGCCCGGTTTCACAGACAAGGCTTTACAGTCCCAGACTAAAATGTAGGTTTGAGCTTTCTGAACTGAAAGCAATTTGCACTAATATTCCTTAAAATACTTCAGTGTCATTGATGTGTCTCACGATGCACACCAGGAAGGTTTTTTTTGTTTTGTTTTTTTGTTTTTAAACAATTATTTAACTAAGGCCAAGTCCTGGCTTAGTCTAAGCCCTGTCTGTGAAACCAGGCCTTAGTGTTTTATATAATAAGTCATTTTAAAAGGAATCCACACAATCGGGAATTCAGCTTGAGGGCGAAATTTTGGTCACACAAATTTGGTCACATTGACCATCAGAAAGTTGCTTGATTTGAAAGAGAATTCTCTACGAGCTGTGCCTCATACATCACGACACTTTTAACATTAGACAATCACTTTTTTGCTCTTAACAAATTTTGCCAACATTTCACTAATGTGATCACACTGAACAATTTAGACTCCACAGAATACTTAAGACTACACGACAGCTTATGGACTACAGTATAAACAGCCAATTCTCTTCCCTTTTCCTATCTGAGATTTTCCCATCCACTTTTAAACAAAAGCAGTATTTGTTTCACAGCTCTTTGTGTGGAAATAAAACATTACTACACTGCAAAAGGGCAATAGAGCTTTGCTGTCAGTGCTACACAAAATGGATTTCTGAAGTATTTAGTAAATTATTTTCATTTCATTTTTCATTTATTTTATTTATAAATCACAATTAAAACAACGTAGTGTTGACCAAAGTGCTGTACAGTCACATACTAAAATTACATAAATAAAATGTACTTTCAGACAAAACAAGGACAAACCAACATCTGTTAAGAGCCTCTTGCCAATTAACCTACTGAACGGTTTCAGTTTCGGTTTCGTTCAAAATAACCTAAAGAAGGAGCCAGTCTAAGATGTAAAGGTAGATTATTCCAGCGCCTTGGAGCTGCTACAGAGAATGCCCGATCACCACTCGATTTCAGTCTAGTCCTTGGGATGTCTAGGCTCATCTGATTTGCTGATCTGAGAGACCTAGAAGGTTTATGTATATGAAGGAGATGCACTAAGTATGGTGGGGACAAATTATGCAATGCTTTATATCAAAATCAATAATTTAAAATCAATTCTGAACTGCACAGGCAACCAATGAAGTGAGGCTAAAATACATGCTGCATTTTACGAGTCCCTGTTAAAAGTCTAGCAGACGCATTTAGAACCAATTGAAGACGATTTTAGAGTACTTGGCTTACACCCACATACAGTGAGTTACAATAATCTAGTCATACAGAAATAAAAGCATGAATAATCCTTTCAAAATCACTGGAGGACAAGAACAGTTTAACCTTTGCTATTGATCTTAAATGGAAGAAACAAGATTTTACCACTGAATTGATCTGTTTGTCAAATTTCAAAGAACTATCAAATTGGACACCAAGGTTCCTCACTACAGATTTACAGAAAGGGGCTAACTCACCCAAGTCAAAAGAGTAGATTAGATAACTTATTTAGTAACTCGCTAGACCTGGTGTAACTTATCAACCACACCATTTACAAATTAACAAGTAAGTAATAGCATGCTAAAAATAAGTTACTTTTTTACTGCAGGACGGCAGGGTAAAATAGTATTCAATGTTGAAGGGACAATGGACATCATCTTTCAGGACACCTGAAAATGAAATCTCTGACATTTACTCAACCCTAATGTTGTTTCAAAGCTATATGACTGACTTTCTTTTGTAGTGGTTTCACAAAAGGCGTTTTTTTAAAAGAACATCCTCGCAGCTCTTTTCAATATTATGACAATAGTGAATGAGAACTAGGGCTTTTTAAGCTTAAATAGGACAAAAAATGCCATAAAAGTATTCAAAAGAGGTTAATACAAAGCCTTATAGTTTTACATGAGGAAAACACACAAAACTGTTCAGACTACACAATATTTTTGTCTGTCACGCTAGTCACTGTGTCAGATTATGCAATTTTGACTCCTAAATTATTGTCATGTCGTGGACATGAAACACGTCAGACTACACGTAACTTGCTACCCGACCAATCATCGCCAGTCGTTCTTATATAGCTCAATACAACAAATGTTTCAAGTGATTTTGCCAAATTCAACAAAAAAATTTAAACATATTTAGTGACTTCTGCAGTCTCAAAATTATTCAACCCCCTGAATAGAGTCCCTCACAACAGCACAA